TCACCAACGGCGTCGTCACCAACGCCATCGTCGCCAACGCCATCCTCACCAACGCCGTCGTCACCAACGCCGTCCTCACCAGCGCCGTCCTCACCAACGCCATCCTCACCGCCGCCATCCTCACCAACGCCATCCTCACCGCCGCCATCCTCACCAACGCCGTCCTCACCAACGCCGTCCTCACCAACGCCATCCTCACCAACGCCATCCTCACCGCCGCCATCCTCACCAACGCCATCCTCACCGCCGCCATCCTCACCAACGCCATCCTCACCAACGCCATCCTCACCAACGCCGTCCTCACCAACGCCGTCCTCACCAACGCCATCCTCACCAACGCCATCCTCACCGCCGCCATCCTCACCAACGCCATCCTCACCGCCGCCATCCTCACCAACGCCATCCTCACCAACGCCATCCTCACCAACGCCGTCCTCACCAACGCCATCCTCACCAACGCCATCCTCACCAACGCCGTCCTCACCAACGCCATCCTCACCAACGCCATCCTCACCAACGCCGTCCTCACCAACGCCACCACCACCGGCACCACCAACACAAACCACGCCAGCACCACCCTCACCTTCACCACCATCAAACAGAGGAACACCGGTGGACGTTACCTTACTTGGACCAAGTACGCCGGCCGGAGAGTCCGATACGTTTGCAGTCACCACATCCCCCCCTTCACGAGGCGCCGGTGTGGCTACCGGCGTCCTCGCTGCTCCAGCAGCGGTTGAGCCTGGCAAGTCAGCACCCAGACCCCTTGCTAATACACCGGGGACCACCCCAGCTGCATCTGCTACCCCGGAAGCGACAAAAGGACGGAGTGTACCGCTGGCGGCAGTGGTCGGGGCAGTGAGTGCACTTGGTGCGGTGGTGATCCTTGCCGTACTGGCACTCGTCATAATACGTAGGAGGCGCATGGCGCGGCGTGTGGCTCCGGTGTACCTCAGCCCTTACGAGATTCCTGATCCCAGTTTGTTAGATGACCCACGAAATGGGGGTGCGTAACAGTTTCAAGCTTCCCATGCATGCGGGGCTGGACTGCGTGTTGCTAATGCGCGTGGGCCCTTACAAAGGCTTCACATAAACAAGTGCAATCCCTACCAACTTATTGGGGCTTCTGACAGCGCCAAACAGGGCCAAACAGGCCTTAACAGCCTATAGCATGGCCTAATAGCCTGTTTGGCACTGTTGACAGCCCTATTGAGTTGGTGGGGAATTGCGCCTCATCCTAATCAAGTAGTCCTAGCAATGACTTTAGCGAGCCCTAGGTGCCATGGTGCGAAGGGTAAATTGCATACGAGCAAGAGAGTGGTGGCCGCGGATGAGAGCAGGGAGAGCTATAGACGGCTGAGGCGAGTGAAGTGGTAGGTGCAGCTCGTGCGGTGGGGTGCTGGGTGGGCAGCAGGAGGCGCGTGGTTCGGCCATGGATATACTGCTGGCGCATGCTGTCTTGTACCATACGATGGCCCGTACTGCACTAGTGATACTGTGTTGTCAGGGGCTGACACATTTATATGCATGTAAGAAACAGGGGGGTGTATCTTCGCCCGTGGCAGCTACCCTGCGAAACCCTGCCTTCCCCGGTAATTCGGGGCACCCTCATCCAGTCACCCTAGTCAACTTCTCAGTGGATCGCTCAGGTTCCGCACCAACCACCAGCATCCAACGGAATCTGCCGGGTCGACAGCGGCCCAACTCCGTTCCTGGTCGGCTCGCAGGTTAACTTTATCCCAGGTTACCACCGTCCATCAACTAGGGGCGCAATGCCTTCCACCATCGGAAGGACTTTCACCCTAATGGCTATCGATCCCGGGATCTGCCGGGGGAAATGGTCGCGCCTTACCAGTAGTGCCAAACCCTATATATACATTTATATGTAATGTAAACGTACGGCGCACTTGATGTCTATGTATTGTAAGACGCATCTTACATGGCGTAACCATACATATCAATTCTGTGTTTTATGCACCATAATTTCTCTTATTCGTAGGACATCCTTGAAAACGGATGTCACGACATAGCTGCATGACCGTCAACGGCCAACAACCGTTTTTAACGGCTACGCAATGTCATTGTGCAGCAGTTCCAGAGAAGTCATGTTTCCTTTCAGTGAAGATCGATCGGTTGAGCAGTGTGTTAGGATTAGCAAAGCACCGGATCCCCCAGGTCCTATTACTGCTGTCCAGTGGGTTGCAAAGATTGGGGATTGGGGGCAGGTACTGGTCAGGCAGGATGGGGAATAGGGTGACGAGGTCAGGATAGGGTTTAGGGCCCAAGGCAAGGATTAGAATTGCTACATTTTCAGAATGGGGATTGCTGTCGGGGTGAGGATGGGGATGGGAACCCTGTCGGAGGAATGGGGATTGAAACCTTAGCCAAGGATGGGATTGGGACTCCTCGCCAAGGATGTGGCTGACAGGATGGGGATTGCAGGCTGTCGCAGGTTTAGGATGGGCTCGCTGCCATAGCGATGGATACAGCTGGAGGATTAGGATGGGGTTTCCGCTGTAAGATGAGGCTGCAGGTGCAGAATGGGGAATACTGACAGGACTACAACAGACCAAATAGATGGTGTAGTTGTCCATAGTTGCTGTGCGTGAGTATCCGGCCTGGCGTGCCAGTTGTCGGTTTGCATCATGTGGTGATCAAGTGATAGGTTTTATGTGCGCTGTAAGTTCTGGGATCCGATCGGCATCCCAAACTTCAGACTCCTCCGTCCCGTAATTGCTGCTGTGCGTGAGTATCTGGCCTGGCGTACCTGTGCTGATCAGGTGATAGCTTTTATGTGCGCGCGCTGTAAATGCCAGCAAGCCAAATAATGTATGGAAGCCTGTAATCCTGGCATGACACACAGTATGGTGTGTATGGTGTATTGTTACTTTTAAGCTATTTTTTTCTATTAAGCTATTAAAGCTTAATCACAGTAACGGTACGGTACCGTAGTTACAAACCATACCCGTTAACTGTACGAACTCACTATATGTTGCGCTATCACAACCTAGCGTACGACAGCAAGACCCCAGGAATGGAGATGGCGGCAGGTGGGCCGCATTTAAGCCACCCTGGTGAAGTGCTTCGGCCAGACACTTCCGTATCACTGTACTAGTGTTCGGAGTTCAAGACTCTGCTGTCACCGTTCTCGACTTATGTCTTCGAACTCCGATTCTGTGCTCCTGTCTCCCTTAAACCGTATTTTCATGGCTCTGTCGACTCGAACGTGCTGCTGGCTGACCGTGCAAAGAATGGTAGAGACGGGAAGCGGGGAGACCAGCTGCCAAGCTGCCAAGGAGAGACCAGCCCTTACACTGCAGTAGAACGCAACCCCAGCCGACCACGGGCACGCGACTACGGCCCCTATGGCCGCCACACCGGTACCGCGCGGCCGAGAACACTTCCCCCCCAGGGGGCAACACGCGCGCGACAGACGGCACAAAACGCGAAACCATAGGACGCCCAAGGACCACCACAACAGCTTACACAACGGCGACCCTAACATCCTGAAGCCTGAGCAAGGAGACCGACTGAGTCAGTGTGTTTTTTTTCGTGGAGGCCGATCCTGAATCTGTTACGAGTTCCGTAATAAATATGCCATCAGTCCAAAATACGTTTATTACTGCCAGAATTTTTTTTCTGGGGGGGCAAGCCCCCCCAGACCCCCCCTGCCCACACAGGGTACCTGATACACCAGCACATATTTAATAAATGTTTCATGAAGTGTTGCATCGCCGCTACTGGGTTTTGGCCTGCCGGTGGTCAGGAATGCTTTGACGCTACCCTGACCAGCTATAGTAGTTAATTCCTTGGGCCCCATCGCTCATTTATAACTTATTTATACTAAAATAGAACGTCTCTGGGGGCTTTCGGCCCGCCCCGGCTCCGTAACGACCGTACCAGGCCTTTACCATGGTCTATGACGGAGCGCAGAACGCAAATATGCCATTTTATTACGGAACCGTAAATATATTACGGAAAAAAAATACACTGGACTGAGTCCTACAGTGAAAAGCGCCCCCTCCCAGGGCTCCCAAGGCCGCGCTACTAGGCTAAAAGACCCAACTGCAACCAAGTCCTCCTCAACCCTCTACTCCCGACACGCCTGCTGACAAGCCACTCCTCAGCGGGCGTTTTCCACCGGTCCGCCGCTAGCCGAGCCCGGTGCGGAGGTGTCTGGGACTGACCAGTGGAGAAAGGAAAAAAGAAGGGGGGTGAAAGAAAAGATAGCGACCTCGAGTCAAAGGGGGAAAGGTGGGCGGGAAGCTGTCAGCTACAAGCTGAGGTGGACGCAATGCTGCAGCCAGCCGACGACAATGACGCCACTCCGGTTGTCAACAGCGGGCGGGCCAAACGTTAATTGCGATGGGCCAGGAAACACGGGCGTTGGGAGAGCCTTGCATCGCACGATACCCCCGCCGGGCACTTGAAGGCCGTCAACATAGCTCAGCTTCGGGAGGGGGAACTGGCACTGCAGAAGCTGAACGACGGTGAACAAACTCTATTTGATCAGTGACTGAGTAGGGGTTAAGATTTCTGTGTTTGCTTGGGCTCTGCAACAGCTCTGCAACATATGAAATACCCAGTCCACTTGTTCATAGGATACCTTGTATAGTATTAACCTATTCCTCCGTTCGGACTGGAAAAATTGACGGGCAAAAATGATAAAAAAACACGGTGGGCGGGTGGGCTAATCAAAAACAAGGACAATAATTCCCAGTCATCCTCGGGGTTTGGTAATGGCCCTCTAGTGCTTTTCGTCTGGTCTTCTCCAGCTAGGCCAGGTCCAGCTGGCGGTTCCGAGGTGCGTCCGAGGTGCGTCCGATTGTTGGTGGGAGGCGCAGTTCCATCCAGCGGGTGAGACTTCCGTGTCTCCACAGGTTGCTGGCGTGGTGTCTCTCTCAGTCAAGGCATCCGGATCCCCACCATCTTACCCATCTGCACCAACACCGCCAACTATGTCCAACTCAGTAGTGGCCGCCTTCCTTCATTTACTGGAGTTTCCCCAATGCCCAGCACAACGCTTTCACCAGCCCATTATACCATTTGCCAGCAATGTGCTCCTGACAGCTGGCAAAAGATTCGGAGCCAATTCTGCGAGTTGCATGCCAGGCTGGTGCAGCACCGCCCAGAGATGAGCTTGCTAAACTGCGACCTGGAGTTTCTTCTGACCTTCGAGGAGCATTGGAAAGCTGCTCACCCCAGAAGGGTCTGTTTAGATTGTCTGCCATGCCCCACCACTCTGCATGGGGCCATCTCCAACCTCTCTACCGCCTTCAACCTGCTGAATTGACGGAGTCCTTACAATGCGGTCATATGTTGCGGCAATCCTTGCAAGAGTTACCGGTCCGCAGCTATAGCAAGGGTCATCATCAGGTTCTCACTCATCAGGTTCTCACACCGCAGGCTCATTGCTGAGCGGGGTGCTGTACCTTTAATGTACAGCAAATTCCTGAGCTGAGTGGCTATCTGTTGTGGACTGCAGCCAACATCCCAGCTCCCATTCCCCGCATGAACTTGCTATGTGACTTCAGCATGTTCTGCCTACTGTGGAATAACTGCATGTGTGGCCATGACTGTGGGGAGCTTCTGGTGGATGATGGTCCAGCTGGCTCAGCAAGCAGTCGATGCGGCGCCCACAGCACCCCAGCCACTGCAGCAGCTAGCGGATGCACAAGCAGCACTGGCTAGGGCACACCAAGAGGATGGCCGCATGGCAGCCAAGGAAGCACGGGCCCACTGGCTCCGGGCAGGTGAATGGACCAGCCCTGCCCTGACATCATTCCTGGATGCCCAGGCGGCCGAGCAGCAGCCTGCCCCAGTCGCACTCCAGGCGCACACCGGCCGCCTAGTGACCAACCCAGCACAACTGCCCCAGGTCGTGGCAGACTTCTGGGCCGAGATCAGTCGAGCTCCTGACTTCATCAGACCCAGTGCCCGACAGGAGGTACTAGCCCAGCTGTCTGCGGCCAACATCAGCCTCCCTGCAGATGCAGATGAACAGCTTGGCTCCAAAACCATCACAGCAGTGGAGCTACGGGTAGCACTGGTCAAGAGCCAGCCCGGCAAGGCACCAGGATGGGACGGCATCCCAGCCGACCTATACCGCAAATTCTGGTCCACCATTGGCAACACCATGGCGGGCCTCTTCACCGCCATGGGCGCAACGGGTCAGGTGCTGTCCGGTTTCCTTGAGGGCATTATCACGGTGCTCTACAAGAAGGGCGACCCCAAGCAACCCGGTAACTACCGCCCTATCACGCTACTATGCTCAGACTACCGCCTGCTCGCCAAGGTACTGGCAAACCTCCCGGGGCCGGCCCTGGGGCGCATCATCACCCCCGAGCAGTCGGCCTTCCTCCCCGAAGGGCTCATCGGGGCCAGTGTGATGTTCCTGCGCCACCTATCCCACCTCCTCCGCAAGCAGAACCGCCGGGGTCTCCTGGTGTTCCTGGACTTCGCGAAGGCATATGACACGGTGGACCGAGGCTCCTTGCTAGCTGCTATGGAGGCGATGGGGGAGGGCCCGCAGCTGTGCAGCTGGGTTCGGCTGCTGCTCAGCAACGCGCAGGCACGAGCCATGGTCAATGGCTTCAAATCAATACTGGTTGGGATGGAGGCAGGTGTGCGACAGGGGTGCTCCCTCGCACCTCTGTTGTACCTCTTCATCGCCCAGGCCCTGCTCTGCTGGCTCCTGAGCCGAGATGTGGGGGTCAAACTACGGCCAAATGACCAGGACCACGTCACAGCCTGCCAGTTCGCGAACGACACTGAAGTGGTGCTGGAGGGCAGGGAGTCAGTAGTTCCTGGAAGCCATGGAGACCTTCGCCTGGGCATCAGGCCAGCGCCTCAATGTGGAAAAGGTAGAGCTGTTGAGGATGGATGCCGAGAACCAGCAACAACAACAGCAGCCACAACAGCCGCAGCAGCAGCCACAACCGGCAGGTAGGAAGCAGCTGCAGCAGCCACTACACCAACAGCCACAGCAGGAGACAATTGGTGGACTCAAAGTGGTCACCACCACCACAGCCCTGAACTTGCCGGTAGACGACCGGCCCACAACCCCACAGCCCGAATGGCCC